CACAGAGTGAGCAAAGGTGCACCAGAACAGGTAATCTTTCACATCTGGCATGTATTTTGTATTAGATTTGTTTTCATAGCAATACTTCATATTTCTGTATCGCCACACTAGTACACACCTAATCTGGATGTTTTGGATGCACAAGTATGTCTTGATAATATCTTGACTCTTTAAGTTTTCTCACAGCCTCGCCTGCCACAGAGTGAGCAAAGGTGCACCAGAACAGGTAATCTTTCACATCTGGCATGTATTTTGTATTAGATTTGTTTTCATAGCAATACTTCATATTTCTGTATCGCCACACTAGTACACACCTAATCTGGATGTTTTGGATGCACAAGTATGTCTTGATAATATCTTGACTCTTTAAGTTTTCTCACAGCCTCGCCTGCCTTCAGGTTTTCAGTGCATGTTGGTTTTCTAACTATTCTTTGTAACTGCAGTGGTACGATTATAAAAGAAATATAGTTTTTATGTTTTTAATATTGCAAAAAATTGAGACTCGTTGCAGATTCTTAATCTTGCGTGGAACAAGTCAGATATTGAACGCAGAGTGCATGCAGTTATTGACAAATTTGCTGAGAGGGGGCTTCGGTCGCTTGCTGTTTCCTATCAGGTAAGTGACTGCTTTTTTTCCAATTTTTTTTAGTTTTATCACAATTCTGTCAAATTTTAACAGTAGATGCTTTTTTAACTGATGACATAGTTTCATCTTTTGTGAAGGAGGTACCCGACAATACTAAAGAAAGTGCTGGGGGTCCCTGGGAATTCATTGGTCTTCTCCCCTTGTTTGATCCTCCTCGCCATGACAGTGCTGAAACAATTAGAAGAGCTCTGGAACTCGGAGTGAGTGTGAAGATGATTACAGGTGGTTTTCTATGCTGAAGTTGTATTTCTCCTTCTTGTAATTTACACATGTGGTACTGAAACTTAAAATTCTAACTGGAAGTAAAAAGTGTTACCAAAGAGTACTAGCTGGCTGACATGTTTATTTTACCATCGTATTCAGGACATTTCAGCGATTTCTTTCTCTGACTGCATTTCTCATTTTCTGATAAACATTAAGAAATCTCTGAGATACAATTGCGCATTTAGAAACCTCTTCAAGAGACCAGGCGGACTTGTCTAGAATGGTTAACTTTGCTTTTTAGAGAATTTCGATAATAAATAAAAGTTTGTGTATGGATATGTCAGTGAATTATATTCATTTAATTGCACACTCCTGTTTTTGGTAACGTTAAGAAAATCTTTGGGGCACTAACACACGCAAACGGACACAACCCGCCACCACTTCCACTGATGTAGTACGAGTTTCACAGGAAAGATCATAAAGGAACAAATGAAGAAAAAAAAATCCAATATTGTCAAACTTCTTTTAATGTTATAACTTATACCTTTGATTACTATAGATTTTTTAGTCTTATCCATTTAGGATAAATTATTAGTTAGAAAATTTGATCGATTAGATTCTTTTTAGAACCTAATTATTATGGAAGTTTTTGTTTCACTATGATTAGAATTATTTCTTATCAGGTTAGTATCTTGATGATTAAGTTTTTGCGAGTATATACAAGGACTAGTTTTCTTGGTAAAGTATGAAGATGTTTATAAAATACTTATGATTTCTTTAGATTGTGTAATGCAATGCAACATTGGTTGTGAAATTGTAATTTTTGAAGGTGTGAGACCCTAATTGCATTGCATGAAGTCCGTGATCCTTGCTGAGGCTATGTTACAATTGAAACATGTGTGATGCCAAAAGAATGATTGCAAAAAGCCATAAGTCTATACTTTTTTCTTCCTCCTCGTTCTTTTCTCATTTCCCATTATTTAGAATTAGAGCTGGAAAATTCCACCATCACTTAACAATATCGACATCATTTCAAATTTCTATATTTTTTATACAGGTTAACTTTTAGTGATGTCTGCTCAAAGAATGAAGCTACTTCAAAGTTTTCAACATATCCAATTTCAAAATTGAGCTCAAATTTTATAACAATGGAAATTCATGTGGGATGAGTTTCGCTTAAAAAATCGCAAAATAAACAAATGAAGAAAGGAAAAAAAATGATGGCTAAAACTTCTTTTAGTGTTAGAATTTTGATTTCAGTATACTTTTTGTAGTCTGATATAATGGACAGGTTATTAGTTGGGAATTTTAAATGATTTAAAAATCTTTTTGAGCTTAATTCTTGTGGATATTTTTCCGTATGATTAGAATTATTTCTAATCTATGACTAGTTTACTGGTGATGAAGTTTTGTAAGCTCATGAAAAACTAGTTTTTTTTAATAAAGATATGAAGATGGTTATTAAAAATTTACGGATTAGATATGTGATGCAATTCTGGGTCTGAAATCCTAGTTTTTGAAGGTGTAGACTGTAGACCTTAATTGGCGTAAGCCCCTGATCCATGGTGAGGCTAAATTATGATTGAGAATATTGTGATGCCAAAAGAGTTATTCTACAAAGTCCCAACACTATACTTTTATTCTCCCTCTTGTTTTCTTGTTCATGCACACAAGATAATCCCACATACGCATACATATAGTATCCAGGGTTCATTGCATGTACACCGTGTACTATGGTGGTGTAGCCAATAATATCCTCTAAACCTTTTCTATTAGGACTTACACACCCTTAATCTGAGATGGCACTACTTTTTTATTGTTAATTCAGAGGGTAAATAAGTCTTTTTTCAGTTGAACTGAGGGAAAAAGGTAATTTTTTATTGTGTGATTTCCAGGAAACATCTCAACCTTAGTTTGGAAATAATGTTGTTTGGAGTTCGGTGGGTGTAAGTGTGAATAAAATAGTATAGGGATATGCACCCTCATTGTACAGGGAGTTTATATGCAATTAACCCTAATCCATCTTACTTGGTGTCCACTTTTTGGCTATGCATCGGTGTAAAATAGTATAATACACACCCATCTGCATGAATATGATCTTCGTTTGTTTACATCTCTGCAAGTGGTAGAGTTAAATACATCTCTCTCTCTCTCTCTCTCTCTCTCTCTCTCTCTCTCTCTCTCTCTCTCTGAATTCCTCGCAGCACCAGAAATCAATTAAAGTTACTGTTACACTCATCTCAAACTTTCTCTGGTCTGGGACATCTTCAGGTGACCAATTGGCCATAGCCAAAGAAACTGGACGGAGGCTTGGAATGGGCACAAACATGTACCCATCTTCATCTTTGCTGGGTGAAACCAAGGATGGAGAGTTTGCAGCTCTACCGGTTGATGACTTAATTGAGCAAGCAGATGGTTTTGCTGGGGTTTTTCCAGGTAAGTTATATGCAGATCAGTACATCTTTATATGATATCACTGTGTTAAATCTATTTTTGATATAGAACACAAGTATGAAATTGTGAAGAGACTACAAGCAAGAAAGCACATATGTGGGATGACCGGAGATGGAGTCAATGATGCACCCGCACTGAAGAAGGCAGACATAGGGATTGCAGTTGCTGATGCAACTGATGCTGCAAGAAGTGCTTCAGATATAGTTCTTACAGAGCCTGGATTGAGTGTTATTATCAGTGCTGTTTTAACAAGCCGCGCTATTTTTCAGAGAATGAAAAACTATACGGTAAACTGGCTTTTAACCATTATATTTTATTTGTAATGTCTATTACCTGGCAGCTACGTGCGAGACTTCTTTCCTTGCTTTCCATTTTACAGCATTTTTCCTGCTTATACTCTGTTTACCGCCCACTTTACAATATCTTCTTCCGAACTAGTGAATTTTCTTTTCATTATTGCTCTTTTGTTCTTCAAATATATGGATACCATCATTCCATGATCATAACATACTGTTATTTATATAGGAGGTTTCACAGTTTCCATTGTTTTACTTTGATGTTGATTCAACTGTACTTTGAGTTTTTTTTGCAGCCATGGGTGCTTTTTAGGAAACTAAGTTTGTATGCCACTTGTTCATATATAGCCACACATTAGACATTACTTAAAGTCCTATCAAACTCTTAAGTATTTGCTTTGTTAAAGAATTTGACTTTTCTGTTATTGCTTGCAGATATATGCTGTTTCCATAACGATACGTATTGTGGTAAGTTGTATATTTGCTTGTCTATGGTTAACTAGCCTCTTGTATTTAAAGAATATTCCCAATAGTACTTTTTATTCCTTTGCACATTAATCTTATAAATGGTGCTCGTCCGAGTCCAAAACTAGTGTAAACATTCGTTAGAGCAAGCACTGGAATTCATTGTGGAGAAAACAAAAATGAGGACACTATGAAACTTATAGTAATAGCTTTTGTGATTGTGCATATTCATTTGAGACTATCTTTCTCACATGTTGATGTTCTGTGTAACAGCTTGGATTTATGTTGCTAAATGTCTTCTGGAAGTTTGATTTTCCTCCATTTATGGTTCTTGTGATTGCCATTCTTAATGATGGTTAGACTTCATACTCGAGTTGCTACGCTCGAACTGAGTTCTTATGCTAGTGTATCTCTATTGCTCTCTTAATTCAAATGGAATATTATATCTCAGGTACCATCATGACTATCTCCAAAGACAGAGTCAGGCCATCTCCACTTCCTGATTCTTGGAAGCTCTCTGAAATTTTTGCAACGGGAGTTGTCCTTGGTGCTTATTTGGCTATAACCACAGTAATTTTCTACTATGCAGCTTATGAGACCGAGTTTTTTGTGGTAAGTTCCAGCAGTTCTTTTCTTGGTGTTTTGTCTGTTCTCTTTACAATAGTAGGTCATACGACTAATGACATAACATATGGACTCTTTTTTTTGGGTATTGACAACCCTGTTTTGTCAACCCAAGATTGCTATAGCATATCTGTGGGTAAATCATAGAATCAAACACGGCACATTGGTCCTGTAGCAAGCATATGCCTTGATAGCATGTGCATTCAAGTGCCTTGCCTAAATCAAAGCATGCCACTGGCAAAACATTTGATAGGCTTCCACATTAACATAATCATATAAACCTGAAAGGCATCTGTACTTTTATATGGTAGAATACCCTTTTCCGGCGCATCTCTAAGAAGTTAGAGGTAGCATATATCGAGGATATATGAGGAAGAATTGGTTAAGATGGCTTGGACATGTACAATGGAGACCAATAAACGTGCCATTAGGAGAGTTAAGATTGTAACCACTGGAGTGTGAATGAGATTGTAACCACTGGAGTGTGAATGACTAGGGCAGTATGAGATCATGGATTGAAGCAGTAAAAAGAATGCATAGTCCTAAGAGGAGATAGCTCTTGATTAATTTGTATGGAGAAAAGGGATTTACATAGCAACCCTAAAGATTAAAGATAAATGCTTAATCATTGATATTTGTTGCAGGATTACCTTTTCCAACTGCACTCATGAATTATCAATTATTGGAGAGTCTATGTGTCACCATACATCAATAGTTACATGTTATATCTTAGTTCTGTCCATGTTATCTTGCAGTACACTTTGTAATAATTGGGATTTCAAGGATCATTCCTGTGTTACTGTTGGAAATTTTTGGGAAGCTTTAGATATACAATCATTATATATACCTAACCATATAACGAGTCTTCTGATGCAAATATTTTTAGAATGTACCTTTTTCCTACAGTAATGTGAAATTACCCTAAAGGGAGGTGAATAGGGTAAATTGCTAATCTTATCCGATTTAATGCTAATTAAAAACTTATTAGTAAATATCCTAGCGAGTATGATATACAACAACTTATATGAGCAATGATATTAAACTAAGGGCAAATAAATATGAGACAATATAAACACGATAGAGGACAAATGAACAATCCAAACACAAGAAAATGATCACGGAGTTCGGTCCTTCCGACCTACGTCTCCGCTCTCCACTCCCGTGAAAAATCCATTATCACAACGGGTTTTCAACGTTCACCCAAAACGTTTACACCTCACAATTGGTTTTCTAGATCACCGAAAACTTTCACAATCTCACATACTTGCAATCACATTTTACACCCTCAAGTGTTGGTCTCTCACGTGTCGCCTCTGTCAAGTGCTCGGCTTTACTACCTCTCCCTAGACTTTACTACCGACGCCACTCCTTTTGGTATCGACCACGTCTCTCACCACACACTTCTCTCAATGTACTAGTGTATTACAAGGTGATCTCACAAATAAGCATAAGAAAAATGTTTGTTCTCTACAATATATAAGAACTCAATGTAATCCCACACTCAATGTTACAAACTCACAACCCCAATTATACTATGTATGAAAATACTTAAGCTCAAGTGGGTGTGTGTAAACAATGAGTAAAAATGAAATATAAACTCAATTAAAGTCTAGCTTATGGAAATGATAATCAAACGTATAAATACTTAGAGATTGAGTTTAGAAAACTTCTCCAATGGAAAACAAGAATGAGAGAGATGAGATGAAAGCCCAAACACAATATGATGATCTCTTCTTCCTCTTGTGAAAACTTCTTCACAAAACCAAACTTGAAACACTTAAAAATTCTTAAACAAACTTGCCCAAAACTTGATTTAAAATTTTCTAAGTTAACTAAGAAGTTATGAGGCATGGGGTATTTATAGGATCACAAGACAAACCCCAAAAACCAAGAAAACCAAGTAAAAAGACAAAAAAACCGAAAACTGTGCATTTTGAAAAACTAGTCGTTACAGTGTTATAAGTCGACTTGCTACAGTACATACGTCGACTTGTAACTAGCCGTTATAGGCTGAAGAACTCATATAAGTCGACTTGCAAAAGTGATAAGTCGACTTATAACATATAAGTCGACTTGCTTTGGTGATAAGTCGACTCAGCAGATAAAAACTGTATTTTTCAGAACAGTTCATAAGTCGACTTGTCTTAATCATAAGTCGATTTATAAACATGTACATTACTGTTCATGTATGAAATCTGATTTTTAAAGTGCCTTAAAAAATAACAAATAAATTTTAAAAAATATAAAACTTTGAAAAATGATTATAACCATGAAAATGAACATGTTACAAAAACAAATTTTCAAATTGCATCTCTTAATTGTGAAAACCCTTCATTTTGTAAAATAGTCCAAAAATATAAAAACTTAAAACACATGTTTTTGACAAACAAACTTGCATATTCATTTTGAAAGGATTAAAGGGCTTGGTAAAAGATATAAAATGGTGTAATTTAGTCTTTAATCCATAAACACATATTTTTGCAAATAAACATGATTTTATTGATTTAAAACTTGTTGATTAATGAAATCATCTTAAGCACATATAAACATGAAAATATATTTATATATGTGTATTAAAAACTTGTTGATTAATGAAATCATCTTAAGCACATATAAACATGAAAATATATTTATATATGTGTATTAAGTTTTCATGTTTATGTGGCTAAACACATTGCACATATAAACATGAAAATATATTTATATATGTGTATTAAGTTTTCATGTTTATGTGGCTAAACACATTGTTTACCAAAACCAAAAATGATAAATATGAAAGATGTATGTATGTATATAATTAAGTAAATTTGTTTCATATTCAAACTTGAAAACTATAAAACCAAAACCTGTGTGTATAAGATTGAGCTCTAAGTATTAACACACAAGTATAAACCCTAAACTATAAAAACTATACCTAAGCAATATTGATCTTCAATTAAGCTCGTCTTGATAAAAATGGATGAAACTTGAACTTGAATCTTTGACTTGAATTGCGAATTGCTTCATTCTGATATTCTTTCCATCCTCCATTGGATATGATCATGTATGCACAATCCAACCAACCTCCAACTAAGGTATTTGTGTAGATTACCTAACAAAACAAATGCAAGCACCCGACGCACAATGTTAGGAATTGTTTGTAATCATCAAAACAAGATTAGGGAATGAGCTCATAAACATGAGACCTAACATAATGTAAATACATCTCTGATGCCTAATCTATTCTTTTTCTTGTTTTTTCTTTTTTCAGCATGCTTCCAAGGTGAGGAACTTCTTCAAAAAAGAGCTAAATCTATCAGATAAGATTTAAATATGAAAATATTTATAGTTTATTAGCTTTCTACTGATAATTTGTAATTTGAAATGTATCTATTTTTTTCCATATGCACTGTGATCCACAGAGAGTTATGCATATTGTTCTTTATGCAGCCTTTGTTCAAACTGAAGACATTCAACAAACGCAAGTTAGATATGTCCAATAATGAAATTCGTTTTGAGGTCACCGAAATGTTGGCTTCTGCTGTATACCTTCAAGTGAGCACCATCAGTCAGGCCCTAATTTTTGTTACTCGGTCCAGGGGTTTTTCTTACTTTGAGAGACCAGGTCTACTGCTTGTTATTGCATTTGTAATAGCTCAACTGGTGAGTTTTCTGGCCACATCTGAACTTGTGTTAGAAATTTGGTAAGACGTTAAGGATTGGCAGTGAAAAAATCACTCTAACATGCTGGCCCACCTCATTGTGAGCTCTCAAAATATCAAGAAAATCAGTACAGTGTCTTCATTTATTTACCTGTTTAGTTAAAAATTATATGGGTTTTTGTAGTTACCTCTTAAGTAATTTACCTTCTTCATAATGGTGGAAAGTTTCAGTATTTATCATTATCCATGATTTATCCTTACTGCTACCGACCTGATGCCAATCCTGTATGGGTTGGTGTGAATTCGTCTCAAAGGAAAACATTGGCTAGAGAAGGCCTTCTGAGACAGCTACAGCTAGGTCTAGTTTGAATCATTTTCCTCACTGACCTGCACTGTCTTGGTCATGGCTACAGCTAGGTCTATTTTGAAGTAACCTTGATTGTGCACCTAGTTACCATGGTATTAAGCACCATGAAGTGAATCATGGAAAAAAGGCTAAGAAACTCTTTGAATAGATTTTTTGGGAATTTGTAGAATCCTTTAATAAATTCCCACAACGATGTTCCTTGGGGAGGTGGGATTAACAAAATGTAAAGAGAAAAAAGACACGTAGGAATTCTATCAAGACAAATCAATTTCTTCTTTTTCCTCGCTTACTCCTGAGGATCAATCAGTAATCATGATGGTTTAAATGAGTGGACGTTGTTCGTAGAATCAGGATGTTTTGAGAGGATAAATGCTGTCAGTAGTATGCGACCATAGAATATCGATGAAGTTGAAGAGAGAATTTAAAATCTCTATAACAGCCATACTTGGGTCAGAATATTAGATAACTAAATAACTCCTCCAAATGAATACAGTTGAAATGAGAATGTCAAGATGGTGTCTTACTTATCCATCTTTGTGAGCATGCTTTGCACTAATTGACCTTAATTTTTCCTCTAGGTAACTACGTAGGGAGATACATGATCTCGTCTTACTCAAATCATAAATTGTTGAAGATAATTTGTAGCCCTTAACAAACCATGAATCTGATAGGCTCCTCTATCGTTGGCATACAGACCAATTTATGTCATGATCCATTTCAAGTTTCGCTAAAAAACAAACTTCGAGTTTCATTTCGTCTTTGGTAATATTTTCTGCAAATTATGTGATTTACTCTTGTATTAATTGTTAATTGTTTAATAATTGATCTATTCATCGGTAATGTAACTCTCTGTGTACTACATTAACACAATATATAGCGGCTAATTATATGACCATATTTCTTTTTTATCTAATAGCTCATGATGGATTTGTGCAAGAATAATTATGTTTTTCACTGAGTTATTGACGTGTTTTCTACATTCTCCAACTTACATGACAGATTGCGACTGTATTAGCTGCGGAAGCAAACTTCAAATTTGCTGCAATCAAAGGTATAGGTTGGGGTTGGGCATTAGTTATTTGGATCTACAACATTGTTATATACCTATTCCTTGATCCAATTAAACTCGGAGTACGATATGTTCTTAGTGGGAGGGCCTGGAATCTGGTACTTGACAAAAGGGTGAGTAATTCATTTACTTGTATTCCATTTTATTTCAGTTTTATGTCAATCCCCTCATTGATTCATTACTATTCACATTTCTTATTATTTTAGCTTTATTATAATATTTTTTAATAACTTTCACATGATAATGTCTTTCAGATGGCATTTACAAACCGAAAAGATTTTGGTCGTGAAGCTCGAGAGGCTGCATGGGCCCGTGAGCAGCGGACATTGCATGGTTTGCAACCTGCAGAACCACTGATTTTTATGGAGAGAGGAAATTTCAGTGATATTAATCAGATGGCTGAAGAAGCTAAAAGGCGAGCAGAGATTACAAGGTGAGTCAAAAAGGATTGAATCCTTCAATAGAACCTATATAGAAACACAGGTCCTTAAAGGGAATATACTGATTGAAGGATCAAATTCGAGTATTTATTCCTACAATCATATGGTACTTTTGATTACTTCTATTTACTAAAAAAATCGAACTTACTAGTACAGGAAGCATGGTAGTACCTATATCAAAGAACTCAGTGTCCCCTTGTGCTACTTAAATCTTCAGATTGAAACCTTTCCGCACATAATTATTTTGTAATCTCAGACTTTTTAGACTTGAAAAGGAATCTAATTCTTATTGGAGAAATATGAGGTAACAAGTGGCAACTATGGTGACACACTCTATGGAAGAAGGTGAAATTAGAAATGGGAATGTTATAGTATAACGACACCATTCAAAAGGGCTAAATTACCAGATTGGTATATTTTGTTGCCTACCTTTACCAATAAGGTATATTTTATTGCAACAGAAACAAGGTACAAAGTCCTATTTACGTTTACCCATAAGGCTCCATACTTGGCCGACGATGAACTTTTTGCTCACGTGACCTCACGTGATTGTTAGTTGGGGCTTTTATGCTGTTGACTTGGTGAAATGCTGCTGAGGTGTATAAGCTAGTTGAGAGTCATTTAACAGTGAAATGGATTTCAAATTGGTGATGAAACTGTTTCTGAAGTGTTCTTCCATGATGAGTCTGCCTCCAGTTTGAGTAGATGTGCCGTGCACATTGCCTATGTTCAAATTGTGGCCAAACCTCATGAGTAGCAGGCACTAGAGTCTTTGAAAAATGGAAAAATACTTATTAGTCAACCATGCATGACATATATAAATGACTGTGGAATATCAAAAATGAAATATTAATATGCCTTTTTTTATCACTAAGCACAGTCCATGCATCACCTTCTCCCATATGGAGATCATTAGTCAAGATCGTTAAGAACCATTGCCATGAATTCCTTGTCTCCCCCTCCAGAACTGCCCAAGCTAGTAGCCACATATGATTGTTGCCATCTCTTCTCATAGCACTCAACAATAGACTGCCACATGCATGTTTCAGAAAACACCTATCAAGGCCAATTATCCTCCTACAGCCACATATGAAACCACCTTTCATTAACTTTAAAAGCTACATAAAACCTCATAAAGGTAGCTGGTTGCCCTTTTTGTGCCTCCCCCACCTTCAAATTACATGTTGTATTTGGATTTGATCTCATAAGCTTTCTCATGTAGGGCTTCAATAACCCATACTGCTTCTTCATCAACCCCTCTACTGCATTTAAAGCTTTGGCTTCTCATGCACTTCTGTAAAGCAACTTGGATTTCTAAGTTTTTTTTTTCTCATGTCCAATTTGATATATGTAGGCTTCAACTTTGGATCCTCAATATCTTGTCCAGATGCTCTTGGCCAATTCTCTGTGATTATCCTATTCTTGAATGTCCTATTACAAGTATGAACTTCTTGCATGCTCTTGATTTGCCATGAACTCTTATTCTCTACATCAGGCCCAACATTGAATTCCCAATGACACACTGAACAACCAATATGCAATTGTTTCTTATCATTCTTAAGGTAAAGCAAGTCATAAGGATGACTTCTTTCAAAACTTCCCTTGAAGAAAATTTAAGCCCTGGTTCAAAGTAAACAGCCTTCATATCTACCTTATCATTAAAGTATTTGTATACCATGCTTTGTTTCCTTACCCTTTTTCTTTTCTGGACGCCCTCTTCATCTTCACTATCATCCAATGCTCCTTGTCATCACTATCTCTTAGATCTGAAATATAGCCTCCTTCAAAAGTAGTCGAAGCAAGAGGCCGTTTACTCTTCCTTGGAACTATGACTCTGGTCTTTGGACCACCAATGTTCAACTCCTCAGTAGTAGGTTGTAGGATGAAGTTCCTCCCTGGCCCATGATGGTGCTTCATTTGCTGCATTTTCTGTGTCAACATGTGGTGCATTTCCTGTGTCAGATTGTTGTACTTGTGCATTTCATGCAATAGGAACTAAGCTTATTGAGGAAAATGTGGCATCAGGAATACTATTGTATGCACCTCCGTTATGATTTCCCAATCTTGCTCCTGAAAGCAATTCTACCCTTTTCTCCTGTTACAATCTCTTTATATACGTGCCTAAGCTCAAATAATTCATCATCCTCACTATTCAAAGACTCTTGAGGTTACTATCGACATATTCAACTGAGTTGGACTGTCATAATCAGTATTAACATCATCATTTGGTGCATGTTTAGTTTCATTTTCATTCATTTTCTCACCTGCAATTACTTGTTGTGATGTACTAGGCATAGGGGTGGAAACGAACCGAATCGAATCGAATCGAATACCATGATATTCATATTCGTATTCGGTTAATTTTCACGAATTCAAATCGAACTCGAATTTGTGTCGGATAGGGAAAAAGTGTTCAAATTTGGTTCCGTTAATTAGACTTAAATGTTCACGAATATCTCAATAGCACACTTGTTAAGTCACTAGATCCTCAACCATTGAAAAGATGGAAAGAAAATATGAAATGAAAAGAAGAAGAAATGGTAAAATAAAGAGAAAAAAAAGACTAATCCCCACCCCCACACCTAAATTTTACATTGTTTTCGATGCAAATTATATGATGCACAAAGTAAAGCAGATAGGAAATGACAGACTTACATCTGTTCGGTCGACCTGGAACAATGATAAAATGATAAAAATATACAATTACCTTTGATATGATGAGGATATAGCCAAAATTTTCTTTTTCACTTATTTTCCTTTTTTTTTGAAGAAAACTTCAAACCCTATGTTTGAAGTCTTTTCTTATTTATTGTCTATAACTTTTTACTTAATTGTTATTATGATATTTCATTATAAGAATTATTATAGTGTATGTTTATAAATTATTAATATAATACTTATAAATGTCAATATTTATAAAATTATGCGTACGTAAAAGATACTACAACATAATAATCTAGACGTAAAAACATAAACAAATATTTAATAATCAAATGAATCGAATATACCTCTGGTCAAATGCTATTCGTTTATGAATATTCATTTATTATTAAATGAACTACTGAATCGAAATATTACTGAATATTTGGACGAATAATAACCGAACTGTTTATTAGTTATTTGTTCGTTTCCACTTTCCACCCTAGTCTAGGCAGACCTAAAGATTCTTGGCCACTGACATTTTCCCTCTAAACTCATCTAAAGAGTTCAAATCATCACCTTCATCATCCTCCATTGTCTCAGTGAGGACTATCTAGAGGACAATTTATATGTTTCATCCTCAACTGAGTGACAGCTGTCTCAGCGAGGACAATTTACATGTTTCATCCTCAACTGAGTTATCACTGTCACTAGAGGAGACATTTTGGTCAACAAGTATATTTTCATGGGGAGGACTAAAAACTTTAGGTGTTTGATCTTTGAGTGAGTATGACACTTTTCTCCTAGGTGTTAACTTCTTCCTCTGTGCAAGTTTTTTTTTCACTTTTTAGGAGTATGGTGGATGAGGTTGGTATTTACTGCTTCTTGCTAGTAGCATGGGGCACGTGGAATCCCGTGTGAATCAGCAAGGACTATCTTGAAAGGCTAAATACTCTTGGGTGACTAATAGCGAAGTAGCTACGAGTAGAGATTCTCTGTTAGGGGAGCTCTATTCGTAGCGACTTCAATGGTTTGAGGCTTCCTTGATTGAGAAAAAGCCTCCCTTGCACCCCTAGCGCCTTACGAAATATAGGGGGGAATTTTTTTGTTGATTAGGTAGACTCAAACCCTCCAATAGCATGTCCACCTCTATGGGTACATCAACCTATGATCAACAAAAATCTCAATTACTTTATGAATTTTAGCAGATTCGAGCATCTAAGTCATGTTCTGAATTCGAATTTCTCAATCCTCCCATACCTAACAATGCATAATACATGTGTTGCACACTGTTATATCCATATTGCTCTACCTTTAGCAGTAGTAAAGAAAAAGCCATGGATCTACGAAGTATGAATTCAACACTAAAATCTCCCCCAATATAACCAACAAAATCTCCAGATCCAAATGAAAAAATTGGCCCACCATGCCTAAATTTCACCATAATACACCCAGAAATCTGCATTAAATTAAAAAATATTGTTAAAAACATGCTAATTAATAAAAAAATAAGCTAATTACAGAACTTAAATACAAATCTGACCCTAAATTTCAGGAAATACTTGTGATTAAACAAGAAAAGCATTAAAATTCCGAAGAGAAGTTTTGAGGTTTTCAACTTTACCTTTAGGGACCACGATGAAGATGGCGGCTTCAGTTCCTCACCCTCTATCTGATGTCATATGCTGGGACCAAAACTCCAATGGTCCAAGCGATCTCCACTGCTAACTCTAGATTTCAATTTCTCTCTCCCTGTTGATTTTTGTCTATCTTACTGGTAAATGTAGGCAACAAAATATCTCCTTGAAGTATTACTACACCATCCACTACAAATCCATCCACGAGCTTACATATTAAATTCTCCTTTGCAACCTTAGTGATAAAACTCTACTGAGGACAAACAAACTCAGGCTTACTTATGCAAATTCCTCTGATGCTACTGAGACATGCTGATTGATTGTTCATTGTGCAGGTTGAGGGAGCTGCACACGCTGAAAGGACGAGTAGAATCTTCTGCAAAACTCAAGGGACTCGATATTGAAGGCGTTAATCCGCATTATACTGTGTGATGGTGGAAAGTAAATCATATCACAGCTGCTTTCTCTGCTACCCAGATGTCTTCAGGATTGTGATTGCCGTCACTATTTTTTAGTTCTTTGGTTCAAATTGCTTAGTTTAGCCCGCCACAATACGGAATAAAGACTTTAATAGCAATAATAAATTGTGTGCAATAAAAGGCCGTTAATGGCTTCTTGCTGACTTGTATAGGTGAATTTAAACTTTGTTAACTATGATCTGTTTCATGATCTACATCCTAGCCAGTACCCTATATCTACTCTTTTTTACAAATGGGAGAACCTAAGATTCACTATTTATGCTACAGTAAATGCTACAATAGTATTTATTGTAGCAAACATGAATGGTATACTATAGTATTTTTTGTGAAAAAAAATCACTGTGGCACACGAGAATGCTGTAACATTTTAATGAATTGTAGCAGAGATGTGAACTGTAGCGCTTCAAAACTTAAAAAAAACTGAAGCATTTAAAATCAAAAAATTACTGTACCAAGAAAAAAAATAATATGCCGTGCTTTGCACGGTGTTCATGACTAGTAGTTTAAGAATTCAAACTCAGAGATTGGTTTATATTGGACATATGATTATTGTGTGGGAAAGCCCAATCGCTATTATGTCACGTTAATGAGTTTTATCTATATAATTATCCATAGCTTGTTTTTGTGGGAAAGCCCAATCGCTATTATGTCACGTTAATGAGTTTTATCTATATAATTATCCATAGCTTGTTTATGTTGGCATAATTAACTATTTTTGAGTTTTAGGAATAACTACTTCTATCTCCATAATAATTACCAATATTTTCGTAGATCCATTTTAATTTGTAGATATCCAAAAGGAGTTGCGTTTCTTACACTTAGACAAGGGTGAGGCTACCATTTAAATGGATAAGGAAAAAAGAAGTACGTATAATAAATAGAGGGTTGATGTTGAATATATTAGTTTAAAAACAACAGGAGATTATAATTTAGAATAGATGATCATCCAGTTACTAGAATAACTATAATAGGATTTATGTCAATCTAAAATTAATTCGTGATACAGCTCATATTAATGAATGTTGGGCTTGGTGGGGTCCGCCAAAATTGAGTGGGCGGATCATCGACTGTTCGGCAAAATTTTAAAATGGACCATTTTTAAGGAATAATTACTATTTTTGACCTAGTTGTAACTTATTATTAAATTTGGTCTAGTTTCAGTCACGTCAACTATGTTTGCTGAAAGATTCCCAATTTCTTAGAGTTTAGAACTCTACTAAACTACACGAGATTGAGAATCCTATGTAGTTTATAACATATAAACTATACAAAATTCACAATCTCGTGTAGTTGGTTCGGTGATAAATAGCTTAAGAGTTAGGTTATGAGTGGAAAGGTCATGGTTTGAATCTTAGCCAAGTAATAAATTATTTTTTATGTTTAACTTCTGAATAGATAAATATAAATGTTGGTGATGATGAGATTTGAACTCAAGACCATTTAAGTCATTGAAATCTAACTCTCTTAGAGCTAACCACTTGACCAACCACATAAGATTGTAAATTTTGTGCAGTTTCTATATTATAAATTACATGGGATTCCCATTCCCATGTAGTTTAGTAGAGTTCTAAACTCTAGGGATTGAGAATCTCGTGAAATTTAATTTTTTACTAAACTACATGGAATTCTCAATCTCATAGAGTTCGTAAAATATATTTCGTAATTTTGACTGGTTTTCAACCCATATGGCTAAAACTAGGTCGAAATTGCTAAATAAGCTGCAACTGGGTTAATTTTTGTGATTAAGTTTCTAAAAGGCTCTATTTTAAAAATTTGTCCTGTATAATATTCTAGTTGAACTAGGATACTTATCTCTATACCATATATGTATAGATATAGGGTTTTTCATGAAGAATTGAGAAAAATATACAGTAAAAAGAATACAAATCCGTCATCTCCTTTTTAGTTCAAGTTCATACTTTATGCGGTAATCGTGGGGTGATATGCAGAGGCTTTTTGTTGGTTGCATGGTGTAGTCGTTCTCCGACTGTTGATCAAGATTGGCATGTCGATCCTTTTAGAAATGATCTGCGCTTAAACTTATTGTTTATGTTTCCTAGAAGTATGCTAGAATTTTTTAATTTTCTCTTTACATAATCTAGTTGTATATTATCCCTATTGCATCCATGTACTTATCCGAATCTTATATTGGTATTGGAGCCAGATTTAGGATCACTTGTAGTTTCTTGATGGCAATTTTGGTCATGGAACAGAAAAAATTATTTTTATGATGAAAAGTTTTATTTTTCATTCAAAATTCAAAATTTGATATTAAAAAAAATATCAAATCTTTGAATATTTTTATGATATTAGTGGGCTAAGTTTTGATAAATTAGGGATTTATCAAAAATATCTTTTTATAAATTAGGTTTTTATTAGAACCTTTTCCTTTAATCATGGACTAAAAGGAGGGGATTTTTTTTCTTTCTATATATTTGTTTTAAAATAACACAAAATGGGGGCTAAAATACTAACCTCCGCTTCCAGAACCTGGGGGCGCGACGGTAACCGTCAGGTTGGCCGGAGGGACCCCCTTCGCTGGGCGTCGGTGGTCACCTTCCTTAGTAACGACGCTGGGCATTGGTGGCCACACCTCCCAAAAAATATCGAGCTTGTCATTGGTTCTTACCTTCGATGGCGACAGCATTGGTTCTTACCTTCGACGGCGACAACATTGGGCAATTTTGTAAATATGGTTTTTTGAATTTTTTTATACTTCAGAAATGGTTTTAAAAATCTATAATTCTGGATATATTAATAAAAAATTATTGTTTTTGGAAAATGTATTTTTTAAATTTCTAGAATTTTTTCATACTTATTAATTTTAAAAATTTCCGAAAATTGCTTAGAAAATGATAAAATTTCTAGAAAATAATTTTTATTCCTTTATGAACTTTGAGACGTTTCTCTGGAAATTTTAGAAGTGGGCCCTACTAAGTTTCAATTAAGAGTTTGTGGATTTTGCAAAAAAAAAAAGTTTAGACTTTGAAAATTTAGAAAAATTATTTTTATAAATACCAAAATTGATTTATAAAAATCTTAATAAGTCATAAGACTTGTGATGGATAGTTGTTCGAGTGAGAGCGCCCAAGGTGTCATATCAATTTCACAGAAAACAAAAAACCCTAATAAAAGTGACAAGATAATTAGGATAGTTAAAATAAAATTATAAAATATTTTGTTTATTCTTGTCATGGTACATGTTTAGACGCATACCGAGACCTACGTAATTAACTTTAAGTGAAAGATTTCATGTAGAGAAGACACTATGATTTAACTATCAAATCCAGTCCATTTCTAAAAAATCTAATATTCTATATTTAAAATTTCATAATAATTTTAAAATTATATTCATAAAGATTATGGTGGGGGCTTTAGGCCTTCTTCTCCTATTTTGGAGTTTAATTTTATTATCAGAATAGAAGCCTTGATGAGATGTAATATTCTTTAGGAAAGAACAATGCTCCAAGAACAATACTCCACGTAAATGCCAATAATCTTAACATATCTGTAATTAAAGTGTCATAGTCTTTCTATTATAGAGGTACAAATATAATTTTTGACTTCAGCCTGAGATTGATTAGTTATAGATATTTCTATTGAAAGATTTATTTTCTTCTGAGAGTAGGAGATTTTGGCGAGTATTGAGGTGGTAAAGTTCGAGAGCGTTCAACTCGGACTAAGCAATTTGAGGCCGGCCAGTACAAAATCTAAAAGTGAAAAGATAGTTCAAGCGATTCATCAGGTGCACTGCAACGAGGAGCAATCTATTGGGGAGTACAAAGATTATCCAAATGCAAAGAGCTTCCCGGATGCTCTTATATGAGATTTGATATGTCTCTTCGATGATGATTCAAGTTCTCATTATTAAGTTGGATTCAAATAATATGTCTACTTTGCAGAACATCGAATTCAACTTTGTATGATTACCCTTGTGATTAGGGATTATGAGATAGCTAGAACTAAGTCGAGCTATGAGCTGCAAATCTAGGCGGTTATCAGGGCTTTACATAATTTTTAAAAAGACATTTGTTACTTTTATTGCACGTCGCAGATGCGACACATCTGAGGATGTGCAAATAAAAGTGAAGTTCGATTCTAAGCACGAGGGTGTGCTCTAGGCTAACATGTCTACTTTGACTGTGATAGCTAATGCCCGAATCACAAATATAAGAGCCTAGTAGCAGCAGGCAGCGGTAGATTTTCAGAATGGATTCTAAAATAAAAAATAATTTAAAAAGTGAAAATGTCGACTAACAAGAGCAAGATCAATTATTTTGACTGCAGACAAGATGACCATTTCGTGCATGAGGGCATGCAAAGGAGAAAATTGGGACTTGTGGGCTACATCTATTAGGTAGAGATAAGTTCATTCGTAGAGTTGTAGAAGATTCTAAATGGGAGTAGAACTATCTAGAAGGAGAATAGGTAATGGTGATAGGCATTGATACATAAAGGTGTTCTCCAGGTTGAGAGAACAAATAGAAATTGTAATACTCCCACCCTAGTTGAGGAATCATCTCTCAGTAAGTAGGCTTGTTGGGTTCATGTTAGTTTTCCATATGTGTGACTTACATAGATTTACTTCTAAGATTATTTGTTTTGCATAGGACATCAAACTAATCGCTTAGTTGATTTTAGAATGCGACTCATTATTAGATAACCAGGTTTATCTTCTACTTTGTCTTATACATTAAATTAAGATTGTATCTAATTTATGGTATTATAGATTAGGTCACAATGGAGGATACATGTGGGTTCACCTTGGGCGTCCTCCTATTTACATGTATCAGGATAAATCTGTTCACCTACAAATATAGTCTCATTATTAAAATCACTAGAAAGTCTTTTGGTAAGACCAAGAGCAAGTTCACTGCAATTAGTACACTTTGATATATATAGACTAACATTTATGATGGTATAAAGTAGAGCATATTAACTCCTCATGTTTATAAGCTATTACTCTCTTTATGATAATGTGTATTTGATTTTTCACCTAGTTGAGAGCTTGGATTCATTTTAAGCGCTAAATTAGCAAGGTGGATAATCAATTAAGCAAAAGCACTAAATTTTTGCATAGTAAGCACGGTAAAATAGCTATATGACTAGTTGAAGGAAGTATGTCAAGAAAAGAGAAAAACTAATACCTAATATATAATATATATTTTGTAACAAAAGGGTGTTGCAGAACTGAGGAATATGACTCTACTAGATAGGGTTCGGAATATCTACC